TGCCCTCTATTACACAGGGTGCCACCCTGGGGAGCAAACAGAGATTAGGACCAATTCATCACACCACTGAATAAACAACCATGGAGCAGGTCCAGAGGTGGCAGGGTCATTAACACCTCTCTCCTCTAGCACGGCAGTGTATTAAACACTGAGGATGACATGGATGGAGAGGGAAGAAATCCTAGATGGTCGACATAAGTGAATTTTCCAGATAACAGAAACATATTCTTTTAAGTGTCAAAACAGTTAAAGGACGTTAATCATTTTTGTGTAGAAATTTCCCTGAATAATGTCCTTGCCTTCTTAGTGTGAATTGAGGATCCTTAACACCACTGACCCTCTTTTACTCTCTGGTATTGGTTAAAAGAGCATCTTCAAGACTGGCCCGTGTATTTAGCGCTGGCTCCGGCTGTGGGCTCCTGACAAACCAGTATGCCCTAAGGAGGATGGTGAGGGTAAAAAGAGCTAAAAACAAAGTACAGTGGATCCTTACTAGTGCTTGGCAATCTTACTCTACTTCCCTTGTCCGATTTCCTCTTCTCTTAAGTCAGGAGTTGAGAAACCACAGCCTACTGCCTGTTTCTGTAAATAAGGTGTTACTGGAGCACAGCCGTACTGACTCCTTTACAGACTCTCTTGCTGCTTTTGTGCTGAACTGCACAATTGAGTAGTTGCACCAGAGACCACATGGCCCGTGAAGCCTAGAAATATTTACACTTTAAAAAAAAAGTTTACCAACCCTTGGAACTGAAAGGACTGTTACATGCCTTCTTTTCTCTTATCTCCAGCGTCTTCTCACAGTCTTCTCACACTCTTGTTTAATAACCTGACTTCTTATTTCTCTGGGAAATAGAAGCCTTCAGAAAAGAATTTCCACGTGTTCCCACCACCAGTTATGCCAGCCACCCCGTACGCCCCCTCCCCTCCTGGTACAGAGCATGAAATACTCATATTCATGTTTCTAGCTGAGAGGAGACCTTTACGCTCTCTTTCCTACTCAAAGACATTACTCCGAAAATTGCCCTCTCTCCTGCCTACATCATCAAATTTCTCTCTCTACTGGATGATTTCTAATAAAGATAAATATGCAGGAATATTCCCTCACCTTGAACAAGCAAGCAAAACTCCCTGCAACATCCACCTTTAAGTAGGGCCCCATTTCTTGTAATACAACTCCTCAAGAGTTGTCTCTCATTCTCTGTTAAACCCACACTAATAAAGCTTTTTCCCCCTACCACCTTTTCTCAGAAAGAAGTTACATTCAAAGTCACCAATTACTCTTGCTGAATTCAGTGTCAGTTATTTTGAACTCCTCTTAGTTGCTGTTTCAGCTGCATTGGTTGTTTTTTCACTCCGTCCTCCTTGAAATACCTGTTTCACTAATCACCAGCTTCTCCTCATTCTCCTTTTCAGATTACTCCTCATCTTCCTAGTTTCTAAATATTAGACTCAGTTCATGGATTTTTTCTCTGTTTACATCACTCCACTGATAACCTCACTCCTTCCTCTGGTTTTAAATACCATCCACACTATGATGGCTCCCAAAGTCCTGTCTCCAGCTTAGACTTCTCTGGACCTCCAGATGGCCAACCCGGCAGCTCCACTTGGATATCTATCTAATAGTCATCTTCCTTCCTAGACTTTCTCCGCCATCTTCCCAATCCCAACAAATGACAACCCTAACCTTCCAGTCACTCAGGCCAAGTATCCTGGAGACAGCAAATTCTGCTGGCCATACCTTTGAAATATATCCCGATTAGAACTACTTCTCACCATCTCCAGTGCAGCCACAAATTCTAAGCCTTCTCTTGTCTGAAGACCAGTCTCCCAATGGGTCTTCTCGCTTCAACTGCTTCTCCCCACTTAACAGTATTTTCTCAACCCAGAAGACAGAAGGATCCTGTGAAAATGTAAGTCAAATTATGCCCATCCCATGTTCAAAACTTTCCAGAGTATTTTCATCTTGTTCAGGAAGAGAATCTAAAGCCCTTTCATATCCTGTGAGGAAACTACACGATCTGGTCCAGCATCCCCTGTCTGAGTGGCCCCACCAGTGTCCCCCTCGCCAGCCCTGCTCCAGCCCTGCTGTCCTCTTTGCTCTTCTTTGAACATGACAGACACACCCAAGCCTCAGGGCCTGTGCACTTATGCTCCTCTGCCTGGAACATTCTTCACTCCGTTTAGATCTTTACTCAGATGACATCTTACCAAAGAATCCTGCCCTGACATTCCTATTTTAATAACACTTCTCTGTCCCTCACCCTGCTTTTTTCCCCTTTTGGTCATGTATGACCGTCTAATATTCCATATCTCTGTGTTACATAATCCACATCCCTTGTTGAGTTTAAGCCCCATGACATGTGACACTTTGTTTTTATTGTTGTTGCTCACTACTGTGTCCCTAGAACCTGTAATAGGTCTTGGCACGTGGTGGTTGTTCAAGAAAAACCAGCTGAGTGAGTGAATGAATGAGTAAAATAGGGAGCTAGAGGAACATACACGGGGAATGCAATAAGAAATCTGTCATAAATATTGGCGTTTAAATACTTGGAAGGTTGTCACATTGGATAAAAAATAGACATAGTTTCAGTTGCTTTAAAAGGCAATACTAGTGCTCACGGTTGAAGTTCAGTGGTTGCAGAGTTTTGTCTAGCATGATCAGGGACTTTCCAGTGATTCTGGCTCTGTAACAGAGCACAGGCTGTCTTAAGATAAGCTGAAATCATTGTCCAAGGAAACCTTGGGGCCAAGCTGGAAGACCACTTGTGAAGGGATGTTATAAAAATAAATCTCTGACTTTGGTGGAGGTATTCCACTTGCTATCCCATGGGAATCTGATTTGGGCCACTTCAGTGATTTTTGTTTGTTTGTGGATTTGTTTGTCTCCTTTCTATTTGTTGGAGAAACTGCTAGATAAGGAGGTGTCCTTGCCCTTAGGAATAAATATTTAGTCATTGCTTTGCATGGATGGTTCATTTTGCTTATGCTCACTCAACAAAATGCATATTTTAGTACAAACTATTAGGAACTTGAAGCTGTGATCACTTGCTGGCCCCTTCTCTGTATTGGGTAATGTTGCTCAATCCACTCAAGTCCTGTAGGTTTTATGGGGTAAAACTAAGATTTATAGTTTAGGCTATTTCTGCCAAGAGGAACTTCAGATTTCTTTATTAGATCATGTTCTGATATGTCAGGATGAACCATTTTTGAAAGAATTTGAGCAGAAACAGTTCATAATTTGTGTGTTGTAATGATCACACATATATATATATATATATATATATATATATATATATATATATATATAT